CCCAGCATAAACATAAATGTGGTGAAAAATCTGGGTTTTGGAGGGGTTGTTACTGTAGGTGAGCTGAAGTCTTTCCCAACAGCCGCAAGAAAAACAGACACTCTCTGGTCCAAATTTTTAGCAAATTAAAGGAAACAAGGAAATTAACAACAAATCTTTTAACTGTCATATATTTTCCGCCAGTCCAGAAGCAGCAGACACAGCAGATGCCTTCTGAGTAGGCCAGCATGGCCTGGAGGACTGTCTCGGGCCGTGGAAAACGTGCCACTTCTCCCTGTGCTAATGCTTGGCCTATTCCTCTGCTTCCTGGCTCCTATATCTAAGCCCACAGGACTGCTTTAGGAGGTAAACTCGAGGGTATGCTTAAGCAAAGAGTTTAATTAGGGTTGTATTTCCAGCTCAAAACACTGAGGTATTGGAAATGAAGGGTAGAATATGGAAATGGCTGAGGTGAGAACTTAACTGCTTCTACAGATCGCAACTGGCAAGTGTGAGCGAGCTTCCTRCAAACGGGAGAGAGACATTCAGCCAGTTCTGCTGCAAAACCATGATTTATGGATGTGCACATTTATTAGCTTTATATAACGCGTGAATGAAGAATTAGACTGTGGCTACAGAAATTTTAAGTGTTTTGCAGAACCAACATCTTCAGATGAAATTCCTTTCCCAACAAATGAAAGAACAAAACGTAACACAAACTTAACTTTCATCTTAATAAACTCCTTATTTTCAAATATTCCTCTTTTGTTTTGGCAAGTAAAGAAAACTATAATTTTAATTTTGTATTTCAGGTGCACACAAAGCCAGATATCTACTCTATCGCTAGAAAAACACGGTAACAATTAAGAAAAACAATTATCGTTATAAGAAGACATACAATTTTATGTAGTAGGCTTTTAGAAATAGAAGCCAGGAAAAAATTGTTTTGTTCTCAAACATGTAATTCTCAGATTAATTTTTAAAGTCTTCTATAAATCTTCAACCTTTTTCAGATATATAACATAAACATGAAATATGGCAGGAGTCGACAAGTTAATTTATTACAGTGTGTAATCAACAATCTGTGCTGATCTTCAGAAAAGATAAACTAGAAAACAGATGCTAATTCTATGGAGAAGATAAAAGGAAAGAGGAAACTTTGAGAGTGTTCCAGAAATGCAAATGCATACATCATTTGTGCTAAAGGCAACACCAACATCTTCCCTTAAACAAAGCTATACATCAACGTGTAAGAACAAGGAAACATTTTTCTTTCGAGAGAAAACCCCTAAACTCTTGCCTCAGACGAGTAAGTGATGAAGCTAAGAACAAAATGGCAACATGAATTGTAATTCATGTTAAATTTGGTATTTAATGCTATGCATGTATATATACAATGCAAACATACATGATTTTTTACAGATTTGCTCTCTCCAAGCCTGACACTATTATGCCATCGCCAGGTACCTCACATTTCCCACAACTTTCAGCAATTTTTGCTTACAGTAGTCAGTAATAAAGCAGAAATAACCTCTTCCAAATAAAAATGTCTCTGTTACCTATTTGGAAATTATGGCTGATGGTATAAGCAAAGTCTTAACTCGACTTCCCGTTAAGGATTTGAAGACAGGATATTTTTACATTTCTCGTTAAATATCCAAGGTTGTAAATCCAGGAGTTTTATAACATATTTTAGTACTGCAGATTAACTGCTGTAATTCCAAACCTCAGTGCAGAAAAACTAACATTTCCATGATTACCAAAACTGGTGCTTGCTCACTCCAGGAGAGTACTTCTTTGTTTTGCTTTCACGAAACAGCTTGAAACCTGTTTTCCATCCACTCCAAATCTATTGCATTTCACTTCTGCCAACCAGAGGCACTTAGAGATTGCCATTAGGAGCCTGAATTTGAACAATTTGTGGTTATCGCAAGGCTCCAGTGCAGAGCAAGCATGCTACTGGGCAATAAATGCCATTCCCTGATTCATTTTTGAACAATTTAACATCTTAATAATCACAAGGAATGCTCTGCGAGCTTTGAGGAAAGATGCAGCAATGAGTGATGAGATCAARTAATGCATCTTCAGAGAAAATGAATGAAGGGTAACTCATTTTTCCCTGAAAAAAAAAAAGGAGGGGAGAGAGAGAAAGAGATTGCWATGGGCCTCTACCTGGTGAAAGCCAAATGTATTCCAGGAATTTCTGTACACTTTTTCTAAAATATACATGCAAATGAGCACAAAAGCCAATTATGATTCAAGGCAGCTTTAAAAGGGTCACAAAAGCCACTTTGAGGTGTATGGAAATGCCTCTCCCCAGAGGGATAAACTTCCTTATGCTGCATTCTGGCGTATCCAACCACAATCCTGATTTTGCTGGGCAGATCCACTTTTWCATCACTTATACTTAGAGCAACAAGCATGCCCTGGAGCTACAGCTCTAAACTGCAAACAAGAGCTCGTTTGATAGCTCTTCCTTCAGTGTAGGCAGTGAGTTCTCATGCATTTCTCAAAATCGTAAGGAAATCGGACCATGAAAATACGTGTCAAGGCTTGAGAAYATTTGAAGGTGTCCTGGGAAGGGCAAAGCACCTGAATTTCTTCTGCAAGGAGAGCTGCACCTTAGTTGTCATCCTTAGGACACTTCCTCAGCTCCTGCTGAGCTCATTTCTGCTCCCACATTCACTCCGAGGCAGCAAGAGCAGTTTAAGTGGGAGGGGGAAGACAACGTTTTTTATCCTGATTCATCAAGATAGTTGTATCTTTTTGCAGTATGATGAGTGCCTAATTACAATGATTCCAATCTCTTGTCACCTCCAGGCTAGACTACAGATAACGATGTTTTTTCACCAGAGCTGATAGTGAAAAATGAACTTGACACGGCACGCAATGTTTGTGAAGGGTGATATAATATTGAAGACATCACTCCCTCCCCGAACCYCGCCAGGAGGAGGAAGGAATCACACGCTTCCAAGTTCAAAGTGTCTTAATCCCCTCTCTGGTGKWGGAACATCCTTGCCTGCTTGCATTCCCAGCCTGGATGCATTAGTCGCTCTGGCACCTTTCTCCACATTCAGGCCTGTTTTGAGTCTTGTTGGCTTCTGGCAGTTCTTGCTCCACATTATTTTGCTGAGTTTACTACTTATTTTTATTCTTGGGAAAAAAATATATATATATATTTATGTATATATGGGCTGGGCCCTCTAGTGCATCTTGATATTAATGCACTAGCCCTCTGTTACCTACATTGCTAGCGCTTTTTGTGCAATTTTGTCTTTTACAAGTGGACACTGCTGGTGCTTGTGTTGAGTGATAGTCACCCTAGTTGTACCCCCACCTACAAATTCAAGTACTTGGGGTGATGGGTGGCACCTGCTGATAACCCACTACAAAATCAACCTCMGAAGCCAAGCAAGACAGTCTGGAGATGAGGATAAAGCAGCAGCTTCTTCACAGAGGTCAACTGCCCAGCAATGAACACTTCTTCAAAAGCAGGTCCTTCAAGAGGAATATATATTTCTGTGGTGGTCTGCACTACTCCTCAATATCCCTGACACCACTATCAAAAGGCTACAATGAGTTATACATATAAACATCACCACGGTATTCCAGGCTTAGGTGGGAAATTGATATATTTCCACATTGGACTTCTGCTTGAATCAGAGGACAAGAGCTAAGGCTACAACCTGTTCTCCTGTAGTCTCTGTCCCCACGTCCTCTCCAAGCTAATCTAGAGCTTTAGCATTTAGAGAACCATCTGGATACTCCCTGCATCACAAATTTTTACTTTCCTCAGGTTCTATTTCACAACCACTGGGAGAATAAAGAGAATAAAAAAGAACTGTTAGAATGCTTAAAACAAAATACTGCAATTAAATTTAAATGAGTRTTTGTATGTCACTGAAAGGATTCAGATGTTTGAAGTAATTAAGAGACAAGAAAAGGGTAATTTGAAAAAAAAATTAAATGGACAATATAATGTAGCAAAGCAACTGACCACCTAACATGCGCAGTATCACGACTATCCCTATTATTTTACAGCACAGCATCAGAGAGCAACAAACATACGTGTACATTTTTTCGAGATTAATGACAGCTGTTTAAATTCTGATGAATCTTTCCAGTCACAAAAATCAACAATTAAAAACAAGCGTTAATTGAGCAGCAACCCGTCAGTGCAGGCAGCACCGCTGCACGTTTTGCCAGAGCTTTTCAGGCTCTTGGAAAGATCATGCACCCCTTCGCTGTCTCACATCTGGTGGACATTTCAAAAGAAATCACAGATGGATTTTTTAAATAGATTTTAAAATTCTTTTGCCAGCAAAGGCCTTTCCAGCTTTAGAGGGAAAAATCTCACTGCGGACACTCCACAAACGCCACAGAACACAGGGAAGCTGCATATGAGTGCCCAAGCTTTCTAATTAACCCAGAGATAACTGATGAAATCACTGCAAAGTGGCAGCATTTTGAAGCTTGCTTGCTTTTCACTGTCAGAGTGATCTTGATTTTCCTTCTAAAACCATCAAAAATGTYTATTTCTATTGAACGTGTGCTACAGTTCGTATCAAGATTCATGACAAAATATGGAGAAGCTTTGAAATCCAGGCCTGTGAACAGAATGGGACCATAAAACATCATTCTCCCCAATGTCTTAACATTACTTCAATTAATAATTTCACATAAAAAAAAGACATTTTTACTAGAAAGATCCATGTAAGATTAGTACAAAGGAGCACTTCAACAAAATCTGTTCTGACCAAATATTTTAAATAAAACAGAGTTCAATTCATATAATTGACGTAAAGCATAATGGAACAATGAATATTTAAGGTTTCTCTGTGAATTCTGATAGTAGAACTCTGGATGTAGTCACAAATTCTAAAACTCTTTTGTTAACTGGAAAACAAAACAATTATAGTAATTTTCTGCTATTACAAGCAGTTGTCTTTAATTACCTCAATATATTACTTTATTGTTTGAAAGCAGAGGATGTCAGTGTGAATAGCATTGGCTTGGCAGCCCCAAATTATCAGCACTGTCAAAATGATGCATGTTCTCTCTTCCTTGCCCTGCAGAGAGCAGCCCAGCTTTCCAACTGCCTTGGTTTCTACCTTACTGCCACACAAAAACCGGAATGCAAGGCCTAAAGAAGAGAAGTTGGACAGATGATTTCAGGTGGTGTGCTCGTGTCCTTCAAGTGTTTTGCATTCYGCATGTCTTTTGATTTTAATTATTACACAGTTTGATGGACTCCCCCCACCAGCCCACTTCTCATTTGACCCCAAATGCATAATGCACCTTATGAAATGTGTAACGCAAGCAAAGGCAATGAACAAATAGCTTATTACCTGCTAGCAACCCTGCAGATGATCCATGCAGAGATGCCATTACTGTACTAGCCAATCACTAGCAAAATCCTTCTTTTTGGAGGCTTTCAATATTTAAAAATTCAACACTCCTCTTTTTGAAGTCCATACGGGCTAGCTCTTTCAACATATGTTTCTAGTGTGTTTTTCAAGTCTTTCATTTGTAAGGGAAGAGTCTCAGCAGTTTCACTGCTCTATTTTCCTCCTGCATACAGGATATGTGAATACCTACACAGACATGCTAACCACAGCATGAAATACAAAAAMTATTTATTAAAGTGCATTCATCACAAATCTTGATCATCTTGAGTACATTGCGCTTCCAAATTTTTCTGATTTGTCAGGCGAGTCTCCCTGGTACAATTCCACAGGTACGTGGCCCACTGATACTTTAAAAAAAGACCCCTGTCACAAGCAGGAAATATCACAATATTGGCATTGTCTCAGAKGCTGCTTATATTTGTGCCAGTCAGAAGTAAAAATTCATTTATAAGGGAAAAAAAACCACTATTTTTGAGGAGTGTGGATCTTAGCTTTCCAACAGAACCATAGCACTTGCTCTTACTCTGTGAGATACTGAGGTACCTAATCATATAGTAAGCACTGTATTTATGCTAGGGGGGTTATCAAACTTTTAGGATTGCTCTTCTGTTCTTTCTTCAGAATCTTTAGGCTGCAAACTYGCTGCTCAAATAGCTGTGCTATAAAATCTGCCATTTAGAGACTATAAAAAYATAAAGCTTTTATTGGCGCTTTTCAGAGATAAACCAATCAATGGGYTTGCCAAACTCAGAATGGGTTTGTGTATCACCTACCTCTAGTGTGCATTCATCTTCTGTTCCTGTATTTTATATATTTACAAAGATACTCTAAAGTGGAAAAGTTTTGTCTTATTAAGTGAAAAAATGCATAGATTGGGGACAAGCTTCTGTGGCCAATTTAGGATCTTACAGCTTGCAAATGAGCAGTGACAGCACTGGGATAAGTCCTTAGGAATATATTTGAAGTTTTAATGAAAGTTAGATTACAAAAAGCCATAGCGGGAGTCTTATATGAGGAAGCTTTAAAGTTAGTTGCAGTGTATTAAAAAAAAATCAAGTAAATTATTTTTCACTGCAGTATACTGAGTTTTTGGAGATAGAATTAAAATTGGGCTTTCATTTTAGACCAAATAAAGCATAATATTAGACTATAATACTGCATATGCTAGTGAGATCCAAATGCCCATGGTGTTGCAAGAGAACATTTTCCATCAGGCATTTGAAATTTAATGCTTCTTTAATATTCGCTGTTGGATATTGTTAGAATGGAATTTCAAATATTTTCCTGCAATATGAGTTAAAGATTACTGAATAATGCTGAGCAGCAAAAAAATTTTGAAGCCTGTATCTAACGCTGGCATAGTAGCTTAATGTCCTGTTGTTTCTTGCTTTAGCAAAATTAATTTCTACAGTCTTCAACCGTGAATTCAAGCACCACCTGGAGATTCAAACCCGTAATTTAACTGTAGTGCATTTCTAGCTCTCTTGGCTAATACACAGAGAGCTACACTGTGTATTTTGGACAGTTATAAAACGAAAAGGCCATTTTATAGCAATGCTTCATGTTTGCAACTTGGGAAAAACAATATCTGGTCCATTATTGTAAATAAATGGGATTATCTGTCATGAAATAAATGTACTTGGGTTTGCCTATATTAAAAATACATTCCACTATACACTTGAGTAACATTTTTCCAAGAGGACTCATGATATTTTAAAGACTTTTATCCAATTAAGAGCCAACTTTTCTGCCATACATGCATTAATGTATTACTATGGTTACTCAATTCAGTTAAAAGCAGGKTGAAAATTAAATCTGACATACAGCAGTATCATTTTGGAAGCAAAACTAGGGGAAAAAAAAAGGCACTAGAATCAAGGGTCTTTTTGCTTAGTTACTTAAGGAGAAACTTCCTTCACGCAGAGGCAGCTCCTTCCTTTTCTGTCATCTGTGTCCATGCTAATTCACTCCTTCCCCTTGGAATGGTTGGGAAGGCTGCGTTAGACACGTTACCCTGAGTCCAAACGAATCAGTTTAGAACACACATTCTCAGTTTGAGGCTGCAAGAATTCATGTTCTCAAGTTTCTTCCAGCATAATCCTTGTTACTGTTGACACACTGAACTGAAAATAAACAAATGTCTGAATGTGTATTTTGGAGCCATAGGAAACTCAAATTTATGCAGAATGGACATGCCAATTAGCCTCTGCATAGCTGGATTTGTGGGCTTTGCTTCAATTTTTATATATACTTTTTCTAAGAGTTGGGGCTGATTTAACCTTATGGAGGCAACTGATGCTACATAAGCGTGTGCAGAAATTGAGTAAATCGAGTAATTGCATTTATGTGAGCAGAAGGAATTCTTCCTCTCTTTGCACACCAATAAATACACCAAATATGGACAGTACCACAAGCAACGCTGGAGCCACCCATGGACTGTTCTGCCACTTCAAAATCTGTTTAAGTTTCCAAAGTTTCTAAAACGAGATTTCAAAATCTCACCCAGGAAACAGTGTATTAAAAATGTGTTTTCACATATTAGTAATGAAATTCTTTAAGGTAAAAAGTAATGACTAAAGTTATTTCCTTACAAATCTGTCGGGATTATCTTCGTTTTTATAAAGATCTAATTTTTAAATAATAAGAGCCAAGATCATAAGCCCTCAACAGCAACTTATTAAAGTAGGCAGGTATAATCTGAAACCCTCATTTAAATTCCTTCTAAACAGCAATGCTATGAAGATGCTGTGGAAACCCACTACATAAACACAATAATTTCATTCCAATCCAAAATTCAGATGACTCAAGGAACTGTAGCAYTGCTTGTGATCAATGGAAAGCGACATTCTTTTTTTGCCAACCCATAATTCCCCATGCTTCTTTTTGGATTTTCATTGGCAACTTGCATTTCTCAAAGAAATTGGTTCACCTTTACTTAGTCTCCCTGTGAAGAAAAGATTTTTTTTAGATTTACTTTAAGGCACTTAATTGTTGAATCCATGATGTCCAGACTACAGATGGGCAGTTTTAATTACTTTATTACACRCAAGCTTCTCTGGCATGGAAAACTGCCTAGCAGAAGAGTCAGAGCAGAGAGTACTCATGCCATTTGCCAAAGACGGTTTTTTTAAGGGGAAAATTTCTATTATCTTTCCCCTCAGCCCACCTGACATGGGAAGATATTCCTGATTCACTCAAAAGTTAGAAAACAAAATCAACCTTCGGYACACATTGATCTCAGTGAAGTGCAAAACCCACAGATTGTTGCCCGAGTGTCTGTTTCACCAAGAAAAAGGCAGATTTGCGTAACAGGACAAAATCCCGTGGGATTTGTCCCATGGGACACAAGGAACACAATTCTTCATAATGTTTAATGCCATCTGTCTCACATTAGCTGAAGTTTAAAAMCGATCAGCAAAAAAACTAGCTTTGGGCATGAAAACTAGGAACACAAAAAGAATATATCTTGTATAAAAAAGACTCTTCCTGAAAACTGAACTCTTTTTGTTTTCTAAACTACTATATTTATTATTTTTTCTTATATAGAGTTCTTGTTTTATATAGCAGTATGTTATACGTCAGTAATATTTTAAAACACTTATCTTACAGATTTCTCACATTTTTTTAAATTACACTTTTGACTCTCTTTATGTCATTTCAGTATTTTTTCTAATGTTTTATGTCTAAAAAATCACTTATTTTTCCATTGGTTCAAGATCCAAAAGACACTTGTAAAACTACTCCAGTTCTATTATTTCTATGATTGATGTCGTGCCAATATAGTTAATTTTTAGATATTATTAACTATTTTAAGGTTACTTTTATCACTCAGTGTTAGATATAGGAGACACATTTTTGTTACAAAAAAAAGTAAGCAAATGCATGAGATGAAAGAAAATAGTACTGTGCATGAATGGAGGCATTAATAACGTAATTCCCAAATGACTGGAAACTGAATATAAAAACTTACCTTAAAAAATCATCAATTTCTGTAGCTGGCAATGAAGAGAACGAAAATCCCATCCAAAATAGAGTTAAGGAACACAGGCACCTGTTAGCAGAAAATAATTCATTTTAAAATATAAACCACAGCAAGAACTCTATGAATATGCTTCAAAACTACTAGTGGCCTTCAAAAATAACACAGTCTCTGAAAGACGGAGATTAACACATCTCAAGGATTGAGTTTCGGGGGTTTATTTTTGTTTTGTTCTGCTTTTGTTTTTTAACTACCAATTTAATAAACTATTTTGCAAGAATTCAGTCCTTACCTAAAGAAAGTTCCACTGGCTTAATGGCAATTCATTAAACCTAAGAGTGTGCTGCCCAACACAAATCAGTTTTCAACATGCTTACCCTAAAAAAATGTTAAGGAAACAATTTCAGTTGAWGTGATGGTGCCGAGTTCAGAGGTTTTCCACAAATTTAGATGTCAGGTGGGTCTTTGTTCAGGCTGCACAACCAGCTGTGAACAAGGTCGGTCACTGAATGTCTTTGCACATAGAATCACGTTTGGAAAAGAGCTTCAACACCATCCAATCCAACCACAGGACATCCTGGAGGCCTGCCTGGATATTAAACTCCCTTCCACTTTTTATACATTTTACCGCAAGCCTGAGCTCASTTAAGCAGCTATATGGTGGCAAAATGCATCCCCAGGTGGGAACTTTGGTAGAATCTCCCTTTTTCCTAGAAATGCCTGTTTATTGCTTGGTATGGATCAGTATAACGTATGGGACTGTGGCATTTGAAATGAGCCAAGCGAGACCGCCCCATTCCGACGCTGTACCCTGGAAGACGCCGGAGGCTTGGAAAAGCCGCGGCAAAGCCTCGGGAAGTTGGCAAACGGGACAGAACCACGGCAAGCACCAGACTTGCTAAGCGTGAATACCCCTTGTGCCAAGCATGAATATTTATGCTTTACACCCACTGCAGGAACGTATTTCAGCCCTGGCAGTTTACACTCTGCCTAGATTTTCAGCATTTTTTTTCTAGTTTACACTCTGCCTAGATTTTCAGCAATTTTTTTCCAACTGTAAGGACTGAGGAAAAAAAAAAAAAAGTAGAAAAACAAAAAATTTTCGGGCTATGCTGGAACAAATCTGTGGAAGGGAAAGACTTAGGTAAACACCAGACCTTGCCCCGTGTGAGGGATTTCCCGCTCGGAGCCAAGATGGGAGGGAACCGCGGCCTCCCTGAGGGGAKCGGCGCTCCGCAGGGGCCCTTCCCCCGCCCCGCACCTTCCCCGGGCGGAAACGGCGCCCGCCCGAACCCACCGGGCGCGGGGAGGGCGGGGGGCGGCGGGGCGGACGGGTCACGGTCACGGTCCCGCGCGCCTCGCCCACGCGCGCGCCGTCTCCGCGCCCCCCCCGTCGCCTAGCAACCAGCGAAGCACCGCCGCCTGCGCACGCGCACGGGCTACGTACTCTCCGCGCGCACGGGCGGCTCCAGCCCGCCGTTCCTCTCAAGCGCATGCGCACTGCGCCCCGCTCCCCCTGCTCCCCGCGCATAACGCACGGCCCGCCTGCGCCGCGGCGCGCGCATGCGCACCACCGAGGGGCTACCGCAACCCCGCGCCCTCGGCGGCCGCGGACGCATGCGCAGTGGAAGGCGCTGCGCTTTGCCCGCCCCTGGAGCGCTGCGCTGCAATGAATGGAGGCGGGGGGGCGCTACCACTACGCCAATAGCGTGCGGGGGCTGGGCTGCCGTGCCCCGAGGCACGCTGGGAATTGTAGTTCCGCTGGGCAAGGGGCCGCCTAGGAAGGCTGGAGCGGCGACTACAACCCCCAGGCGGCCGCGCGGGCGGCGCGGGTGGCTGCTCCGCCCCTCCGGTGTACCTTCGGGCCGCACTGTCGCCGTTGCAGCCGCGCGCTAGAGGTGACCCCGAGGCCGTTGGTCGCGCTSTCCGTCCCAGCCATGGTCGGTACCGTGCGCGGTCCCCGCGCGTGTCCCCAAGCCCCGGGGGTTCCCCCGAGGCAGGGGCGCCTCGCYGGGCGGCGGTTGGGACGGGCTTGCCCGAGGGGTGAAGGGGTTCCGTAATGGCGCCGGCTGCCCCGCGGCCGTTGGCGCTGAGGGGGCGGCTGCGGGTACCGCGTCCCCTGCCGCTTCCTTCGCCCTCCGAGAGGCCACAGAGCCCCGGGTGACCTTCCCTTGTGGCCGGCTACGTGAGTGCCCCTTCCGGAGCTTCACCCTGCTTCTAAAGGTTTKGGGGGCCCTTCCCTTGTGTGCTAGCTGTCTTGGAGGAAAAGGCCTGCRAAGTGTTCTCCTCCCTGTGTTTGAYCMTGCCTRCCATCAAGCTATTCGTGTAGGTTCTCCAAGCTGCCAAGGAGTCCCTCTGGATGTCCCCCGAGGTCATACAAATGATGGGAAGTACTTTGGCTTCCTGCGGCATGTGACTGCTGCCGTTTTTGTGGGGATGCGTATATACCCTTGTAAATGTGYGCACAGAGCCCCCGCTTCCTTCTGTAATTGCAAAAACATCCCCACCTCCAYGCTTGAGACCCTCTTCTTCTGACCTCGGTTTTGCTTTGCTGTAGAGAAGATAATTTGTGTGCTTTAGCACTTGTCTAATTATTTCATCTATAGGTAAAGGCAAAGTCACCTTTCCRCTCTTCCTTTATCCAAAATACTGACCTTAAAGGTCAAAATATTGACCTTAAAGGGTGATGAGAATATAACAGGCTTTATTTTGGACTTCAGCTTTCATTACCTTGACTGACATGAATTTGTTGGTCCTCAAGAGAACCTCTCGTTGAAAATGTTACTTTAATTTCTTTTTTTTCCTTCTTTTTCTTTTTTTTTTTTTTTCTTCCCCTTGGAGAGCATGGTGATGGTTTTGTTTTAGAATGTCATTGATTTTGCTTTCTGTATTGTTTTCTCCGCTGTCTCATGGAAAAGCATTGAACTTCTGAAACAAAATCATATGTCTCTGGATGTAGTTGCCATTAGCTAAATGAAATGGAAGCGGTTTTCAAAGGGCACCTATCTGAAGGTCATTTCCTAAGGAAAGAAATCYTTTGGAATTCTGTCTATGAACCGTGCTGCTGCTGGGGTTACTGAAATGCACAGCTCTCTTGTTGATACTTTCTCCTGCATTTCCAAATACTTTTATGGTGTGGGCAGCCCTGTCGTAAAGAGAGGGGAGAAAGCTCAGCAGCCTWTGCATTGCTGAGAAGCATTCTTCCCAAGCAAGGTAGCTTGGTTGACTTTAATGTTCAAAAATAATGGTAAGATGATTGCGTTCTGCAGGCACAAAGTTTAGTAATTATATTTAAGTGGAAGGTTTTTTGCTTGTTTAGATTGAACATAGAACTCCTGATATCCTCTATCTCCTGATAGATTGTGGGTTGCTTAATGCTTCTCTTACTAACCTGTGTAACMTCCTGAGGTGTCGTAAGCTTTCTTAGAAGGCCTATTTTACAGGCCATGTAGTAACCACTGTTGTGTATGGTACAAATATTTTAGCTCTGCTACTGCCAGAATAATCAGAAATAATACAGTCAGTGGGTTCTTAAGAGTGAAGGTCACCTCTTGCAGTTAGCAGAGCATGAGAGAATTCTTATCTAAGCCCCATGTAGGAGCCAAGTCCTGGATTAAAATGCCTGAACATGAATGCGTGGAACCTCTGTGAGACGAGAAAGAACTTGCATGTCATAGGTACATTGTCAGCTCAAGAGTCAAGCACTGCCTTTCCTCCAAAAGCAGCCCCAGATAATTGATAGTACCAATTCTTATACATGATGTAAGTTACATTTTACTAGGGGGAGCTAGATATCTTTTGTTRAAAATGCAACGTTTTTGAGTGCTTGACCCTGCTTCTGGAATCGGAAGRCGGTAGCAAAGTAGATAGTATTCTTCATTCCTCAGCCATTGTGTCTCTTCCCTTTTCCCCTCGTTCAAAAAAGAGGGAGGAGGACAGGAGAAATCATGCTAAGCAAGCATGACTTTTGGGGAAGGCTGAGCTGAATTGCAACTTTTTTTTTTTAACAAGACTAAATATTAAGTTTATCTCAGTTAAAAATAGTCCTACTGCTTTTCTTTGCACTTTCCTCTTTCTGTTGCTGTACTAGAGACTTATACATTTATTTGTTTATGTATGAATCAGACATTAAAGTGCACGTTACAAAAAAAGTCGGGCTGTCTTCCTTTGCGACATTGCAAGAAATCCTACGTTAGTTTGGCTTCTGGGTTGTGAAGAGGCAAGAGTCTACCTCTTTTTCAAGTCATCTTTTCACTTCAGCAGGAATCCTGGAGTGTCAAATGCAGTTGATTTCAGATCCAAAGAAAATCTGTTCTGCGTTCTGGAATGGCATGCTTAGCATGGGATCACTTTCTGTGTGCTACTGATGACGAATTTTACCTAGACGTACTTTTTGCAGCACACTAACTCTTCAGCACTTACTTTGAAAACTAGTATGATTAGCTATTACTATATATATATATACTCATTATTTCGTTTAGTCTGTAAGGAGAATCTCTATATAGTCAACACAATAAAAAGTGTGCTTTAACRTCTATAGCCATATAGATTTTTTATATATATATGTATATATGGCCATATATATCTATAGCCAACTGCACTAATCTCTAGAGTAGTGTAATCTCAAATAGAGTTTGTTGTTCTAGAGCATGTCTAGAGTAGTRAACAAGTTTTGAGATCTTTAAAATGGCAAGAATTCCTTGTCTGCTTTTCCTCTCTCCTTGCTCAGTTTTGGCTTGATGGGTGAGACTCCCAGKAGGACAGATTCTGAAAAGAATAATGTAGCTCAACACCATAACTGGTAGTTATAAAATATTTAAGAACCATCCTTGTAGCATGGAGGGCGGGATGGGGGTCAGGGAAGAAACAAGCTCTAGATTTGAAAATTTAGTAGTTTTAACTTAATCACTGATGCTGTAATTTTACTTAGTGTAAAAAACAAGCAGTTTCTAGGTGACCTTATTTTTATGATTATSTAATGCTGGCATGATGCAGCTGTGCTTGGGGAGGTGAATTCTACAGCAAAAATGCACCCAAATCCAGAAGTAATTTTCCCCTAAGTGTTAGTGGCAGGAATGCTCCCAGTCTGGAGATTGCCTGGGCCAGTCTGGTATGAACTTTTGCCAGCACTAGATCCATGCTCCAAGAGTGGAGTCGCACAAACTCTGGGTAACGTGTTCCAGTGCTGCAGTACTACATTAGTCAAGAATTTTTCTGTCCACAAGCTGAACCTTTCAAGCTGCAATTTGTGGCAGTGTCACCTTTGTAAYCCTCCCTGAAGAAGCTGGGAGCTGTTCTTGGGTTTCCCTGTGTCTTCTGCCTTTCCAGGCAGTGTCCCGCTCCCTCACTGTCAGCTTGCAGGAGAAGTGCTTAAGAGCCCCAACCATCTGATCTGGATCTGCATGATCTTCATGTAATTATTTGGGGAAAAAAAATAAGAGCATGGAATCCTAGCAGAGTAGTCAGAGCCTTTTTGTGTCCAATCTCTGCTGGCCCTGTTGTAACTGGGGG